TCCGGCCGGCAGCACCACTGCAAGCTCGCCGGGATATTGAAATGCAGAGATGGACCTCAGGAGGACACACTGAGATGTCGACAAAACCGGGTGACTATTGCCCTGTGCGTGTTTCGGGGCAGAACTTTGATTGAAGTGTTCTTTGCTAAGCCGGGCTGGCGGCACGGTGGGTGCAACAAAGGGTCCATTGGTGCATGACCAAGTCTCAAGCTTGCAGAAACCCGAAGCCCCAGCGGCTTGAACAACCCATACCATAGGACTGGATCCATAGCGATGTGGATTGCCACAAGCCGCGGGTACAGGTGAAGCCAGGATTTGAAAGCAAGCTGACGTGAAACCAACTATTTGGAAGGTGTCCAAGCTTCGACATGTACCCAAGTGGTTTCTCTTTTCAATTTACAACTTTCACACTACACAGTCCCGCCTGGTCCTTGTGCATCAGCATTGAATGTACTGTAAAAAGCGCACATCTTGAGTCCAGAAATCGACCATGTCTGCCTGAATCTATTTTGAACGGATAAGGGCTAAATAACGCCACGCAAGGTATGAACCAACGAGATCAAACTGAGCCCAACTCACAGCGTCTTCCTAGCTGGATCTAAATGGCACGTCTTGCGCTCGTGCCTGCGAACCTCATTTATAAATTAAAACAATCAACCCTCAAGACTTTGCAATTCTCATCAGTGTGGGTCAGGACCAGTGATCAGCAATGACAAATCTGCTACTTATCCTTTTTAGAGGCAGTTTCCGTGCCAGGTAAGGGTCATTGGGCCAAACAACTTCCGCCAATGTGCATCATCCTTTGCCTGGCAACTGACTCTGTACGCACCAACGCACACACACACACACTTCATCTCAGGCCGACCTAATGCTCTTTGTGTGATGGGGAGTCTTGCTGGTTGAACAACATTGAATAGTTTCCCCCAATCAAGACGGGCAATGATATTGTCCACATAGTTCTCCAAGTATGAACCCCCTTTTTACGCCGAATGTGAGCCAACGTGCAACTGCAAGGGGTCTCAAACGAGTCAAAGACATCTGATGTAAGTAAGGCTGCCGCTCGTTTTGCCCCCGGATCATCGCCATGAACATTTGGCCAGGCCTGGCACACCGACGGTCGACTCGGGTTTAAACATAAATGACACACCCAGGAATCACTCCGTTGAAAGAAAGGTGTGTGTGTGTGTGTGCTTGTGCCTGTGCTTGTGCTTGTGCCTGTGCCTGTGCTTGCGTTTATGTGGTGCTTGTGTTTGTGTGTTTGTGTCTGTGTGCGCATGACTGTGTGTCTCTGCTTCTGTGTGTCTGTCTGTGTCTGTGTCTGTGTCTGTGTCTGTGTCTGTGTCTGTGTCTGTGTGTCTGCCTTTGTGTCTGTGTCTGTGTGTCTGCCTTTGTGTGTGCGTGTGTGTGTCTGCCTTTGTGTGTGTGTGTGTGTGGCTCTGTGTGTGTGTGTGTGCGTCTCTGTGTGTGTGTGTGTGTCTGTGCCTGTGTTTGTATGTCCCTGCAAGGCATGTCACAAAAGCAAGTTACGCCAACCTTTCGCAACATCACGCCGCAAGCTTTGGTTCTAGAGCTGTTTGTAGCTGACTCACCACACGTGGCCTCGTCTCAAAATGCTCTTTAAACCCTTCCTCTTTAAACCCACAGAGCTTCCAGGCTGGGTTCCCGGCTTGCCAGAAATGCGCACGAAGGACTCCGGCGGTCTTGGCTCGTGTCGCACGCCCCATGAGTTCAAGGCCATGGCCTTGAGAGGCGACGTTCACAAGTTGCAAACGCAAAGAATGACCAGCACCTGGCCTATAGATTATACAAGCTGGCATGTGATCCTTGAATTGGTTGCACCCCCGGTTGGATTCATGCAATGACCAATGCAATGTTCCAATCATGCTGCACCACCCAAATTTGCGCCGACATAGCCAGCCTAAGAACCTGCGGCCCATTGGATAGCTTCCGACGGTATCATCCATGATCTGCAGGCAACCGTACTTGCTTGTCTTTCGTGCAAATGTTGACCCTCGATTGGCAATCCCCAACTGCTACACGTTGGAGAAGCCAAGTCTCCTCTCCACAGAAACCTCGCTGAAAACAATTGAGGGGGATAGTCATGAGGGGTGAACATTCAGCAGGTCTCCTTTAAGCAAGAGCATTTGGTCGCCTTCCCTTCCAGGACGGAAGTAAGCATAGAAGCTCTGGACGGCTATGGGCCCCCGGCAAGCACATTAGCTCATCGCCTTGCCGTCATACACCGAATGGTGAGTGGCCCTGATTGGCCCGGCACGCCGGCCGTAGTACTCCCATCGGTGTGTTGGCCCCGAAGGTCCAAAGGCATAGTCAGCATGCCAAGGACATGGTCGCCGCCATGCATGCCATCGTCTCCTGCAATGATGGGTGTACCCCCTGCGTCCAGCCCCACACCCGGCGAACGGTGTGCAAGTGCCCTGATGGTCGGTCAGGGGCACTGGTGGGTAGGGCTCAGATGGACTGATCCCACCAATCGCTCAAGCAAACCTGGCCGCCCCAGCGACGGTAGAACAACATATGGGCCCCACTAAGGGACCTTTGCAGACAAAAGCCCTCCCCAGATCACGTTCGCACGACTAACCGATCTGATTAAAAAGCTTCAATGACCTTCTGATGGTTCAAGTGAATTGATAGTCTTCACGTCCCTGCGTGGAAAGGACTCCACATGGAAAACGTCGGCGGCTGGGCCAATCTCGTCGGAGCTCTCTGGCCTCTCCAAAAGACCCCGCATTGCGCATTGGACAATGGAAGGCTCTTTCTAGATATCGAAAATTCGCACGCAACAAGTGCACTGTGGGAAGCCTTTCGTCACTTTCTGAAATGTCCCGAGGGGATATTTAGGTGAAGCCAAAGAGCGAGTCGCATTTCGATTTCAGCCAGGTGTCACATCACTAATGAAGGTACTCTCCTCGAGCTTTGCTTCATCAGCGAACGGAACCTGAGGCTGGCCAAATGTGGTTCCACAAATGGGTTGGACCCCTGGAATTTCCAGAGACATAGTTTGCTTTTTGCCAAAAGCGAGGACAGTTTACACGTTTAACGATGTCTCAAACAAAGGACACGACCAAAGCTACCCGTCACCAGCCAGGCTGTGAGACTTGCCAATGCGTCGAGTAACCCACAGGAGATCCAGGGAGTCGGGCAGGTTGTTCACCACAACCATCCTCGGGCAGGGCACGTCCTAATTAACAGAAACCAAAATGGCAGTGGCGCACCTTTGCCACAAAACTTTTGGAAGATTTATCTTTGTTTCCCTTTAGCCCAACCCCCCCGTTTGGCTTCAGGCAATCAATCCCACACTACAAGCGGTCTTAGATTGTGCCCTGTTTGACCCAAAGGCCAGCCGAACCGACACCTGAGACACAAGTTCCGCTGAAGCAAAGATCGACGGCAGCAACTCCACCCGTGCCAATCAGTTTGCACCCGAAGCAAAGGAAAACACCCGAAGCTCAGGGTAAGGATCTATGTTGGGGGTCGTTCACCACACCATCCACTCAGGTTGAGGTTTTGGGTGGTAGTGATGTTGCTGGGTCTGGCCGATTCAATTCCATACCAAGAATACGCCACGATCATCCTGAAAAGTTGTTGGGCTTGGAAGAATCAAATGGTCCAAGCATACTCGGTCTTCAGATTCCGGCAGGATGAAAAGGCAAGTGAATGGAATCTCCGTGGCACTACTTTTTTTCCGCATAGGGGTGTATCTCCAAATGCGGGACTTCCCGTCTCCCTCAAAACGACACACCTATCTAAAACCCTGCGAGATGCAGTAGCTTGGAGGACCCTATGTTGAATCAACGCTTGCAAAAGTGTTGAATCGACGGCTCAGGCGGAGAAAGTGACAAGTTCATGCTAGTTCTACGAAGCCTGCTTTTGCTCAGAGGGCAACAAGCACAAATGGCTCATAACAGGGCTTCATGGCTATGGGCAGGGCTCTTGCAACATGCTCTCCAAAACCCAAAGTGACCTCCGGCTGTGATTCCAGCGGCCACACCGTAAAGCCCAACTGCCAAAAGCCCACAAATCCCTGTATGTAGATATCTGGCGTCATGGGTGTTGGCAAAAAAGAGGCCTGTGTGGCTGGCTGTGAGAAGGAAGCCATGGAGCAGGCTCCCAAGAATAAACGCTGAACCACCTGTCTTGGGACTTGTGGATCCATCTTTGCAGGAGAACACCCAGCCATTCGGTTGACCGCTTGCCCGCATCCTGGCAGATATAATGTCATGCAAGCGGCTCATCCTCTGGAACAGCGCCAGGTTCGTCTCCCAGGCTCACGGGGCTGACCTCTTTGATGCTGCCTCTCCCCACGTCCTCAGCGTAGGTGGCCAGCGCGGAGAGAAGCCCAGTAGGTGTAGAGGGCTGTCCCCAGTCCGACAACAAACCTGAGGTCAGTCCAGCTCTTTCCTGACACGCCCTTGTAGGGGGTCCGGAAAAGTATTATCCCTCAAGGTAGCGGACAGAATGGCGAATAAGCAAGCAAGCAAGCAAGCAAGCAAGCAAGCAAGCAAGCAAGCAAGCAAGCAAGCAAGCAAGCAAGCAAGCAAGCAAGCAAGCAAGCAAGCAAGCAAGCAAGCAAGCAAGCAAGCAAGCAAGCAAGCAAGCAAGCAAGCAAGCAAGCAAGCAAGCAAGCAAGCAAGCAAGCAAGCAAGCAAGCAAGCAAGCAAGCAAGCAAGCAAGCAAGCAAGCAAGCAAGCAAGCAAGCAAGCAAGCAAGCAAGCAAGCAAGCAAGCAAGCAAGCAAGCAAGCAAGCAAGCAAGCAAGCAAGCAAGCAAGCAAGCAAGCAAGCAAGAGCGCGCGAGTCAGCTTGCAGCTTGCCAAGGTTACCGCAAGGAGCGACCAAGAATGTGCGCCAGAACGGCAGGAGGCAAGAGTTTGCAACCCGTTTGCACTTTCTCGTGACGCGCCGCGTGCCGACCTGGTGTGTGCTGCCTGCAGTCACTGCCAATAGGCGCAAAAGAAGCCGCGGTAGCTTTTGCCAATTTAAGTGTCGGGTTGATGTTTTGCGTTTGTTGAATCATGTGTCTGACAAAACTAGGAAGGAAGTCGCTGTGGGGTCCGCGGAATGCAGACGTCAGCCTGAAACATATATGGATCACGTAGCATAGCCAGACATCTTCCCTTCTGTTTGCGCCGGGAGGTTTGTTTGCATTGTCAGCTGTCACCAAAAGGGTCTCACCATTTGCATCGGTCATTCCTCGCAGCGGGTCGAACAAATCCGCAAAAGCCGTGGGAGTAAATCTAACGATCCACACCACCTTGAGAAGGGGAAGCTTGATTTCATTTATCTACTCGAAAGGAAACGAACGGAATACATGGGCCACCCCATTCCATGCTGAAAGGGGTGGCCTTTTTTAAATGGAATTTCAGGAGCCTGACCTGAGTTGACCTGCAAGCACGTCTATGTGTCAGATTGCAGGCTGCACCTTGAATGTTGGACAAGTAGGTTTAGCATCCCTCCGTGTCGCTGACAAAATCCGGATTGGTTTGAATGGCACACCTTGTTTCCACGAATGCCCTCAACTAGTGATCCTCTTAACTCCCTTTCAACTTGCGGGAATCAAATCACTCAGGGTGGAGGTAAAGATCAATGTCCTCACTCTTCAACTCGATGTGGCCAAGTCTCCTTGGGCATCCATCTGTTCGGCGAGTAGGATTCGATGTATCTATCTGACACACATTGTCAAGCTAAGCTGGAACATGTTTAGAGCCCCTGTAGGGCGCCATAAAGTATGTTCCTAAACTTTCCTCCTGCTTGCTCTCCTAGTCAAAGCAATGCCCTTTCCCTGCGAACAAGACATGCTGGCAGCATGCCCCATCAAGTGCAGCTGTGCACTGACTTGCTCAAGTCCATTCAAGGCTGACTGGACTCCATATCAACAGAAGAATCAACGAACAATCAACGGCTCGCCAGTCGGTTGGCCATTTCAAGGCAGGAAGTTGGCCCGCCTGCGAAGCGGCTAGGAATCCCGAGGGACTCCCTTGCGAAAGTGCGACAGCATGAAATGTAGCCGTGCCTGCAAGCGAAACCCCGGAGCCCCGCCACGTCTGAATATGCGGTGCTGGCTCCCCAATACAGCTGGTTTTTCAATTCAACGCGCAACGCCTGCATTTGTCTTATGAGAATGGCTTTAAACGTCTTCTGTATACACACTTCGCCATTCGGAAAGTCCTTCCAACTGTGCATATCAGGTCTCTTGACAGCTTTGTTCTTGGCTGTGGGTCATGGTTACTGCACTGTTACAAGCAACCTGTCATGTGGTTGTTTAAAAAAAGAAGAAAAAACAACTACAGCATTGATGCCCATCCTTATGGACTGAAGAATCCTGCACCGCCTTAGGGTGTGACCCACACAAAGGTACGACAGTGCCAACCCCGCGCCAATGTTGAACGGACAAACATGAGGGTGGTGCAGGCCTGGTGTGCCTACCAAGGACCAGTGAAGTTGGGAGCGTGGGGTGCCATAAGATTGTCATCCAGACGGAAGGTTTCTTCTGTCACGGCAGTAAGCCGCCCAGAAAGCCCAATGTGAGGCATACCCAGCCTGCCCTTGCACTGCAGGTGCATTTCTCGGACCTCAGACTCAGCAAGTCAAAGGCTCGATTTGTATAAGGCCGTGGCTCACAATTGAAGAGTCCCTTGTTTCATTCGTTGATGTTGCTCAACCGAAGAAGTCCTAGTTCTCCTACAGTAGCCGTCAATGATGAGCCGACATGATGCTGGCAAATGTTTTGTGGTACAATAGCCTCAAGTGCGTCTTTCTCGCCCGGTGGGTAAGGGAAGAAAGGCCCGGATTGTCACAGTAGGTTGAATGTAAAGGTGAATCCCGCCCAGAAAAAAAGGAGAAGCCTGCATGTTAAACAGATCCAAGATTATGCAAGCGCGTGAAACAATGCCGGCATTATTGGCGCCTTGAAAGTTGCAAGCGGAGATTGCACATTTCAGTATTCGACAAGTGGTCAACATGCATTTAACGCATGCAAGCAAGCATATCACGACGCGGGCAAACAATGAAATCAGCCGTGACACATTGAAGATAAGGAGCAAAGCAAGCGGCACTAACAAGACAACAAGCCAAGGTTGCGGGAAATGCCCCTTCTGTGATGCCACTGAAAGGCCTTTCCAATGGCACTTCATTTCAAGAGGAAAGTTCCCTGGTATCGCAGAAGTGGGAACCATCCAACTTCATTGCCACCTCCCTGCTGCAAACCTTTGGTAGAACATCTGTAGACATACAGCCTCTGGTTCAGCAGGGGTTCGCTCGACCCCAGCCAAATGAATTGGAATGTCTGGCGGAGGGTTCCCAAACGAATTGTCAAGAAATCGGTCAGCAGGCAGTCTTTGAGAACCGGCACTACGCTGGAGGGACAGCTCATATTTTTGATAGGTCATCTAGGATATCTAGGTGTTTTTCAAAATTTGGGACCCCTTGCAGGAGGTTGGTTTCCCTTGCGTTTCAATACAAAACCGTCGAATAAAACCGTCGAAAAAGGGGGTGCCCTACTTTGGGCCAGACTCAGACCAGTATGAAGGCTTTGGTCGCTGGGAGTCTGGGGGTCCCGTCGAGGCTTTTCAGCTTTTCCGCGGTCAGCACTTCCGCTGAAAGCGCTCCAGCTTTTTCTGACAGCATCACCTCAGTGTCGGATTAGCTTTGCAGAAACTAACAAAAGCGTTGTGCAAATCAGCCCCATTATAGGAGAATAGCTTACTGTTTGCAGACCCCTACTTGAAATGAGCAGGACCCCAAAATCAAAGCACGTGCTACAAACAATTCAGCTTGCGCACAACAAAGCTCGCTCCCAGCTAAAGATTTCCGACGGATTTGGGATCGGCTCCTAAGGAAGGTGCCCAAATAAAGACTGGATTGCATGGGAACGAGCCTGGGATTCCTCATATCCAAGGCAAACTGCCTGGAAGCAAACAATCTGACGTCTGTGGCCGTCTCCATGCAAACACATCACCTTAGCTGTATCCTGCGCATGGGAACCTGGGGGTCCGGCTTAACTGTCAGGGGGCTTCTCATGCAACAAGGATCTGTAAGGGCACACGCACAGCGTTACAACCAGACTTCCTCGTATTCCTCTTCAACAATGGTCTCACCCAAACTGGAAGCTCACCAACCCAAACATGTCCGAAATTGCTGAACAAGAAAAATCTAGAGATCCCCTTAGGCTGGCAGAACCAGAACTAGTATGTTCTGAGGCATCTCGCCGCCAAAGCTGAGATTCCCTAAAAAAACAAGGCAGCTGCCGATTCCTTTGAACCGCAGAACGACAAACCAGCCCTTTTGAGTTGGTCTCGTTTGAAGCACCGGGCTGGAACCATTTGTTCACAATTCGAGCTTCACAACTTGGGCAAGCTCGGATTGAAATCAACCCAACCCTCGAGAATGGACCCCTGGCCACTGTTTCAGAGGCCAATACACATGGATTTCAATGGGGGCCAAACGTCGTGCCGATCATTGGCAAATGATTCCTGTGAAAAGGTGACATGATTGTGTGTGTGGCTTCCTGGCTGCGGGCAGCAAAAATATCGCTGTTACCCTTTTTCGACCGAAGAGGTTGGCATGGAACGACTGGCTCACTACGTTTATATTCTCGCTCTGGAGCCATCTTTGCTGTTGCAGTTTCGCTGGCAAACACGGTCATTAACCACACCGGCTGACTGCAGCTGGCATCCTCGCTCAACGCAACAATCGCGTTAACTTCCAACTGTGGACCTCGCAGTAGCGTTGAATGAAAGCAATCACTCTCATTCGCGGTTTGCACTTGTTGCCGTGAATGCGCCGTCCTGGCCCCACGTGCGGAATCTTGCAGCAAGCTCCATGGCTTTCGCCAGTCTTTCGCGAAACTTGTTCCAACGGCCCAGCCAACGTTTAGGCTTTAGACGATTCCCAACACAGGCAGGGAATCAATGATGCAAGGACAGGTGCTGTCCATCTCCCTGGCTAGTAGAGGAGCCTGCTAACTTCCCGCTTGAAGAAGCTTTAGCTAAGTCTGTAGCAAAAGAACAATTTTTCGCAAGCCACTTTGCAGATATGCTGCGTGCAACAACACCTGCGATGCTATGAAGTCTGTTCAAATGCAATAAACTCCCATGTGTCCATCTATGCGATGAGCAAATCCGCCGACCCCTCTGCTTCCTGTTCCCGCGCTCATTCCAGAGGGGAGCGGCGTGGTGTGCAAGTGGGACCGGTTCCGGGACATACCGGGGACCGATCCCGAGACCGGGACACCTCTGACTATCGTCTTGAGGTGGTTTTGAGGTGCAGTTGTGAAGTGGTTTTGAAGTGTGGTTTTGAGTTGGTTTTGGTTTAAGGTGGTGGTAAGGTGGTTGTAAGGTGGTTTTAAGGTGGTGTTCAGGTAGATCAAAGTGGTTTTAATGTGTGGTTTTCATGTGGCTTTAAGGTGGTTTTGCAGTGGCTTTAAACTCCCGTTGCCTTGGTGGCGGCCACGATTCGTGCGTCTTGCAGAGCCCGATCAAGCAACCTGCGAGCGTTCAGCCAGGTAATCTATCATTGTAACAGCCCAGGTGCAAGATCATGTTCACCGCCGCTGTGAGCGACTGAATTCGATCCTTAGACAAATCAGCAAGCAAGCGGTCATGTGAAAAGAGAAGCTTGGCCATTCACATTCTGAGGATAACCTGACCTTCCCTCAGTTGACAACCCAGCGATGTCGCTTGTACTTGTCAAAGCATGAAAGCTCACATTAGGGTTATGAAGGCCTTCCATCATTAAACAACTATTCCTGTTCTCTTCTACAATGTTCGGAGGTGGAGTGTCTCTATAAACTTTCAGGCATTTGGGACATCTGTTCTCCCAAGTCCTCAGAACCACCCCCAGAAACTGCACTTGAGCGTGTGCGTAACCCAATCGAACCCATGCACGCAAAGATGCAAAGAATTATCGCATGTGCAAATTGCCGGAAGAATCCACTCGGACATTTGCCCAGCTGCTCTGCGGCCCAGCCTGGAAGTAAAATGCATGACCTGCGCAACTCCTTTGGCTCTTCACTGGCAACATGGTACATGGCTGCTCTACCTGCCTTGAAAGCACTTTTATTTGCATCACCTTTCTCACGGTAATTGATCTGTTGATGAGGAAAACCTGCATCACAGTGGCGACATCACCTGCACTGGCAGCACCACTTGTGCAGCAATTGCATCCCATGTTGCTTTTGGATCCTCCAGCAACCCATCGCCTTCTCTGCGTTCTGGCACTGTGCATAGCCCCCGCAACGCTCGGAACCTGACCCCAAACTTCCGCCTGGGTAGGTTGTGATGCTGAAGGAGCTCGGCTGCTCGCCTGCTGCGGCCAACTGCCCCACCTCCACATCGCCATCTCCATGACCGTCACCTGCATTCGACACAACCAGCGCCGGTGGCTCAAAGGATAGGGGCGTCATATGAGGCGGAAACATCTCCATCGTTGGTTTGTAGTGCCTGCTGCTGTATGTCTACCTAACTTCCCGTAGTCTTCCCGTAGTCTCATAGTCTGGCTGCAGTCTTCTCGTGTAGTCTTCCAGCAGTGGCGCAGTCGTCTTGCAGTCTTAACATGGTGTTTCTAATGCTTTGCGTGGATATGGCGCAAAGCTTATCTTTACGCGGCATTCGGTGGGCTGGAGGCATGCTGGCATCGTGTTCACAATCACGTGCTTGTTGATTGGCTACGATTTTGCTGTCAGTGGAACGTGCTTTTATTTCGAGAAACATGCCCCGAATTAATGGCTTACCGGCCAACCTCCTATCGTGGTTTTCTCCTCCTTTTGGGGTAGAGTGGCTTGCATGGATCTAGAACTTAAAAAAGGTGCATTTACATTACGAGGAGGTTCGGGAGTGTTTTCCCTCCCATAATTTGTTGCCTCGAAATGAGATATCAGAATGGGTTGTTTCTCTTTGGCTCTTTGAAACAACTCCAACAAGGCAACCCTCAAACCCCATCAAGAGTCTTCGGGGGTGGGAAAGACTGATCTGCGGAATTGATGATCCGGCTGGAAAAGGTAACCTGATGCTTTCATTTGCTGAGCGGGTACAGCAACTATTGTTACGTGATGATCAAGCGCGCTGCCGGACATGAAAGAGGACGAATGAGATACAGACCCTCAGCGCACGGGCACAAACACACGCGCAAAGACATATTTCAATCAATGAAAGCAGGGCTGCGACTGGAGTCCCATGTTGGGAGTTTGGAGGCGAGAGGGCGTGCTTGCAAGTACCTCATTCTTTTTGCAACATGGCCACGTCTCAAACAAGTACCCTTTGTCCGTGCAGAATTGCGCAACCAATTGGAGGGATTGATTTCTGCCTTTGCCTCCCACTCCATTACACAATGTATTATCAGCCCTCACTGGCAAAGATAGGCATGAAAAGAATCCTATGACATGGATGTAGATCTTGAGAATAGGTGCCTTTGGTTTAGATCACATGTAGTCGAACCAATCAGAAGATATGTTACCTCTATTTAGTGGCTTACATTGGCTTGGAAGTTAGGTGTGCCTTCCCAGGTGTCAAGCCAATCCAAACCAGTGGGGATAAGGCGGAGGTGACAAAACCAATATGAGTGAATGTCGAGGCGCAACGCGCCTGGCAGCCAGAAGACCTGCACTGCTTTGGGCGCGCTGCTCAAGACGTGCAATTCCTGCGCTGTCCGGTGCTGCAGAGTTGAACAAAACACTGAACCGGGGGTCTGAGAAAGCAATCAAACATCACCTCGTTTTTTTGGTGGTGAGCAACGCACATAGATTATGTAGCACCCTCTTTGACTGGTTGAGCCCCTCCCAAGCATGGACGCTCCAACGAGATATGAAAAACAGACTTGTATGTTTCAGGCAAGGGTTGCTCCACTCAAGGCCAGCAATGGCTCAGCCTGGCAGCCGTAACACGATGCCTGTGTGTGTGTGTTGCAGCCGTAATACGATGCCTGTGTGTGTGTTCTGCAGTGTTTCAGGCGCGAACAAAACTGGGCACTACTTTTAGCAAGATGCTAGAACAAGCTGATCAATCTTAAACCTTTAAGCCTGGAAGTGGGCAGGTATTCACGAGCTTTCACAACTGCCGCCTGGCTGAAGGCGCTTTCAACTTGAGCTAGAAAGCTGAGCTTGTGTCTGCGATGGATTTCTTTGACTACGCCGCTTTTGAATGGCTCAGAAAATGGATCCAACAACGGTTCCACGTTTTACCGCCGCATTCCACAGAGGGTCGCAGGATGCCAGCACCAAAAACCATGACATTTCAAAATATTTTATCCTGGCTATGCCTGCCAGGCTTCACGGACAGAGAACTGACACGTGCAAATACGTGCTCTTCCCTTGTCAGGCTGATGGTCATCAATAAGCTTCACTCTTCGATGTAGCAAAGACATGCTGATGGCCAAAGTAGCCGGTGCAGCTGTCTCAAGGCCTCTCGTGGCCCAGAAGCACATAGTCATTGTTCAAGCCCACGGCAATTGCAAGTAATGCTTTATCTAAAGTCTATCGGCATTATATTAGAGACCAACAGAGATGTCAGGTGATACCAGACGCTGACCCAGAATGATAACAATGCTTGACCACTGCCCAAGTTGCGTCCTTTGGCTCAGGTTGCGCGGAGCAAGCTATTATCCATGGCACAAAGAAACGAAGGCAGCACATGTGGTGCCTCCTGTGGTGCTGACCAGCGTTCTCCGAGTACAGCTCCATGCAACTGATCTTTCACCCGACGCGAAAACAGTTGAGCATTCTGCTGCTTACAGTACGTAATGAGCAATGAGGAACACCCATATTTCAAAATATGCCAACCCCATTTAGATCAAAACCAAAATGTGCTCTTCTATTTTGGTGGGGAGGCATGGCCATGTCCGTGCATGACAAAAGCTTGATACGACAACCTTGAACGGACCTCGAACTCTTGCGTCATGGCTGGTAAGCTGCGAGATGTCGGACACTAAATCGCTGCGGCCCAGTCACTGCTGCTGTAACACATCCGGTTTCGCCTCCCAGGAGGATACTATCAATCCAAGCCCATGTTGCTTGCCTGACCGGATTGGCACGAATCTGGGCTTCACGGTTCATCCCGTTGATATTTTGCAGACTCTGGGAGAGCTCGCTTGGAAGATTGGCTACGTCTGCTGCGCAGCGGCAATGCAGTACTTTGCTGCTTGAAAGCCAGCAGGCTGCCAGCAGTCACGTCTGAGCGTCGCAAAGCAAAACCATGTCATCACAATCTTCACAGTCTTCAATGCCATTGGCACACGCAGCGGCTATTCGAGAAAGTCCTTGAATTGAAATGGGCAAACTCAATGTTGAATGGCAAAGGTCACACATGAAGGCCAAACGCCTCCCTTCAATGCTCGACAGCATCCATGCCCAATAATATTACGACGGTGGACCTGTAAGGGACCAGGCAGCCAGACAGCCAGTCAATCAACTAAGCAGACAGCCAGCCACCCAACCAGCCAATAAACCAACCAACTAGCGTAAACCGTCTGCTGAACTGCGGACAACCGGGAAGCCTAATAGGTTTGTCCATTGCTCACATGTCAGAAAAAGGCCTGACCCATTGAAACGCAGCAAGCCACGTGTCAGCGGAACGGCATCAACGGCACTCTTGTTGAATTCCCGGCTGAACTATATAGTCCTACCTTCATCTCCAATATATGTCCATCGAGCAATCAGGTGTCTAGCGTTGATGTTGTATGTGTGCTCTGTGACTTGCATGGCAAAGGTCATGGTTCCAACCTGCACTCAATTTGGAAACAGAACTAGTGGCTGATATCCAAACACGCAACACTCTCTAGCTTGCCGCACAACCAACGGCATAGCACAGGTCTCTGGAGTAGCTAGTCCGCATAGCTTTCCGAGGCGAAGAACACGGGTCGAACCATGTTCAAATGAAAACTGCAACGGAATCCTTCAAGTATGTCTGACTGTCGAGGAACGACTCAGGCACTGTGATCCGTCAAAATTCAAACTAGTTGATCATCTCATGAGGGGAAGGTACGTAAGTCTCGCCTAAACCAAACACCCTGACACATGACTCCAGCACATCAACAAATGTGTCCAAGGCAGGTGTTGCTTCTCAAACAAAACACAGATACTGCTGCATTCTTGCTGCAGCATGATCTCTGCTACTCAGCGCTGTTTTCCTTCTGACTGCACCGGAAGACAGGTCCGTACCATCTTTGGCCCGCGGAATGTTCTGCCAGGCGATCCTCAGAAAAGGTCGACCACCGTCTGGAGGCCAACTCAGGTCCGTTGTGGGATTCCTCTGAAATGAGAAATGAAGCCTGGAAATGAATAGGAACTGCAAGTCTGGAATAGGAACTGCCCCCTACATGGCTTGTGCAATATGCTAACCTCCAACATAAAGAGACAGCTGCAGCTGCGAATCCACAAACATCTCGCCAACATGTCCAACATGTGTGAGATCGTATTTGCACCACATTCAGTGCGAAGGAAATGACTATACCGCTCCTTTCAGCAAGGAAGAAAGTCTACCTCAATGACTTGCTCATCCGGCTCATCCTCCTCAATCTTGCGTGGAGGGTCCTTGGCAAGCAGCAAACCTCCACTCGGCTGACTGCCCACGCAATGCTCAGACATCTCAGACGTTCTGACCAGTTGTAAACGCTTCTGTAGCAATTTCCCTCTCAGGGAGCCGTCTATTTCTCCTCGAAGCAACGCACGACCAAAAGCAACCTCGCTTAGCTTTGGATCAAAGGGTGATGTCCAGAACCACTGAAAAAGCAATGCAAACATGTGCGCTGCAATATCAAGCCAGCTGCGGTGGTCCTTTGACCCTTTGCTGAGGAAACAGCCATACGGGTGTGTCTTTTGCGAGGGTACCATGTTTGCGTGGTTTTAAAGGGAAACCAAAAAGAAAGCCACCATTTTGGGGCTCCGCAAAAAACAAACACACCCAGATTACGAATGGAAGGAAAAAAGCTCAAGGTCTGAGGCTTGCGCAGGCTGCACAAACTTCTTCCACAGCACGCTTTGGTTGTCCTCCTGA